GATAGATAGATAGATAGATAGATAGATAGATAGATAGATAGATAGATGATAGATAGATAGATATGGATATGGATATGGATATGGATATGGATATGGATATATAGATAGATTTATTTATTCATTCATTTATTTGTGTCAGATGAACACAATTAAAATAAGCTTCCCAATTAAAATAATAATAATTTTAGAATGAAAAAAATTGCAAAGGTTCTTCATTTTGCGCTGGACTTTTTGTTGTTGTTGTAAAAATATTTATTTTGATTTGAAACATACAGGCTCTAAAGCAGGAAAAAAATTTTTTTTTAAAAAATGATATACACTCTGGACTTTCTCTAAAAATAAAAATAAAAGTCGTTACCCAGCCTTTCGAAGCAGGCAAGAGATGATGCAGGAGCAAAGTAATGAAAAAGACAACAGGAGACCTGGAAATTACAAATCTCTTTTTTTTCGGAGAAGGCGCGTAAAGAATCACCAACGAGGCTCAGCTTGATCTAAACACAACAGGGGTTTGTTTCTCATTGGTGTTTCCCCTTTTCCTCTGTTGACATTTATTCATTTCTCCGCAGGCAAAAAAGCCCACTCTGTTCTAACAGCTGGAAGGAGCAACAGAAACATCTAACTCTAACTCAGAAGCTGACACAATTCTTTTGAGGGGCAGGTGGATAAGTAGGGAGAGCGTGGGGGAGAGGAATAGGTCGAGCCCGAAGGTGGAGTCAAGAAAGGAATCAGCCTGGAGTCCTTACGTTGCCATAAACGGTCCAGGTCCAACGCCTCTTTGAATTCCTTTTTTTTAAAAATGTTATTTTAATTTTCTATTAATTACATAAGGGACGCGGTGGCTCAGTGGCTAAGGCGCTGAGCTTGTCGATCAGAAAGGTCGGCAGTTTGGGGGTTCGGATCCCTACCGCCGTATAATGGAGGGAGCTCCAGTTTCTTGTCCCAGCTTCTGCCAACCTAGCAGTTCGAAAGCATGTAAAAATGGAAGTAGAAAATTAGGGACCGTTTTGGTGGGAACAGCGTTCCATGCACCTTTGGTGTTTAGTCCTGCTGGCCACATGACCACAGAGAGACGTCTTCGGACAGCGCTGGCTCTTCTGTGGCTTTGTAATGGAGATGAGCACCGCCCCCGAGAGCCAGAAACAACTAGCACGTATTATGTGCGAGGGGAACCTTTACTTTTACCTTATTAATTACATTTCTTAGTGCTTAATAAACATCGTGTTGTCTGGGTATTTAATGTGCTTAACAATACTGATTACATTCTTTTGATTCCATGATCTCTTATCTAGGGCCAATTCAGTGCTGACCGTTGGTTGACTGGATTCTTATGTACAGTTACTCCTTGACTTACAGCCGTTCATTTAGTGACCGTTCAGTTACAACAGCCCTGGAAAAAAGTGAGTTAGGACCATTTTTCACACTTACGACCACCGCCCTATCCACAGGGTTCCGTGATCAAAATTCTGACAGCTTGACAACCGACTCCCATTTATGACCGTTTGCCATGTCCCGGGATCACATGATCCCCATTCTTAACAACTGCAGTGATCCACTTAACACCTGGTGGCAAGAAGGATTGTAAAACGGGGGTGGAAATTCCCTTAACAGCTGTCTCGCTTAGCGACAAAAATCCGGGGCTCAATTGTAGCCATGAGTCGAGGACCAGCTGTACAGGGGGGGATAAAGCAATACATTAATTTAACTGGAATGTCATGTGTGGCCCTGATCCTTGGCCCCTTGGCAGAGAAATATGAAATCACCCCCGTACACACACACACACACACACACCAACACACACGTGCCCAGTTCTCCATGCCACCTACTCTGAGGTGGCAATCGCTTCTCGCAAGCTCTTTCCTAACCAGCTGCTATTTATGGCGGATATTTCATGTTTCTAATTTCCACCTTGGGGCTCCTAGGTGGCAGCCAACCAACCTGCCTCTAATTGCCAATTTGCTCCCCGCTTTGGTCCATCAGTCCATTAAGCTCTTGCTGTGCGCCCCTCCATCCCAACCCCATCCATCCGGGGAGGCCGCTGAGAACCCCAAAGGTTGGCTTCCTCTAACGACAGGAGCCGGCTTCCTTTAACCGGGGAGCAGCCCATTTCAAACCCCCACAGCACCAAATGGTGATCCTGTGACGACACCCAGCCCTCCCCCCCTCCCCCCACCCTCCCTCCCCCCCAGCCTTCCTCCCTACGTTTCCAATTCATACGGCTTTCAAATATTGGCTGTTTCTTGTGGGCAGATCGGGGCTCTGTTTTAAATGATAATTAAGCAGCAATCCGTTCCATTTAGCAACGCAGAAAATCCATTAATAAAACACTGGGCTCTCCATAAGCGGATGGGTTAAGAAAAGATAACCCCCCCCCTTTAAAACAAAAAAAGCCATTATATAAAGTGCCATGTGGCTTCTT